GACTTGTATCAGAATTCGTTTGATTTATTCGCTTGCTCATCATAATTCCGGGCTCATCCTGTTCAAATGAACAAATTTTTATTTCCGGTGCTATGTAAAGGAATTGGTGTATACGGCGCCTATTGTCACAGTGAATTGACATTATCAATGCTTTTTGTACTATAGCTGCTCCCGGTGTCTGGGACAAAATTCGACAAACACGGCGTTGTCATTTTTGCATTGAAGCTAACAGGTGACAATTTCAATAATTTATGAATAGTACGAATTTATTTTTCAGTTTGACTTTTTTACAATAGAAGTACATATGCGAACCAAGTTCCATAGTAGGTACCAGAAGAGAAAGGTTACTCTACTAGATGCAAGTCTGTATTCAAATAAATTATAGCTTCAAATTTACGAAGACGATTAGCGTTCTTAATTGCATAATGTTATTACACTTTTTGTTGTATTTTGTGTCAAGAAGTCATGTTTTTTTTATTGATTACAAATGTCACACCCTATATATGTAATACGTTTTATAACATTGGTTCTCATCGATTTAATTGTAGACATTAGTTAAAATTTCTTTTTGGCTTTCGGCTGGGTTAGAGAGATGGGTGCTCTCCCAAACTGAGGTGTGGTAACTACTGACTTCGTTTAATATATTCTATATGTTCTAAAAGCGCTTCGCTGAACAGTGAAAGAAATGCTGGGTTTTTTACTTCACCAAGCAAAGTAGATATTGAAGACGTGTTAAGTTTAGTGAAAGGGCAGAAAACCCCAACAGAAGTAGAAGACATCAACGCAGTAGTAGATGCAGGTAAAGACTGTGCAATAGCAGGTTCTTTTGAATTAGGAATTAGGCAATAGAAATGATAGGGGAGATAAACTGATAGAATTTTGCGATAAACATAACTTAACCGTCGCGAATACTTTATTCAATCATTACGTTAGGAGGTGCTATACGTGGAAGATGCCAGATGATTTAGGAAGGTATCAGTTCGAGTACATACTTGTTAGGCAAAGATTTAAAAGTAAAGTGAAGGATTGTAGGAGTTATCCAGGAGCAGATATAGGTAGCGATCATAACGTAGTAGTTATGAAGATCAATCTTAAATTGAAAATTCTGAAAAAGAGGGAAGGTAGGAGACGTCGTGACATAGAAAAGCTAAAATGTAACGAAAAGCATGATAGATTAAGAACGAGGACAGACAAAATACTAAAGTAGGCCGGAGAAGCGAATGTTAGGGACATAGAGGCAGAACGGAATTACATTAAAACGTGCTTAAAGTCAGCAGCTACAGATGTATTAGGTCTTAAACAAAACTAAAGTAGGAATATAAATACAATGCCAGATATCCGGCGAGATACCGGAGTTTGGCAATTGATTAAATAGGATTATCAGAGAGGTGGTAAAGATGGGCCATTTTTTCAGTGATGAGACTGGTACGTACGATAACTTCTATTGTGGTTATAACAGGTAACGGTTGTCCTGAAAAGTATTGGTTAGGGTCTGGTATGTCGGTTTGTGGTTGGAACACGGAGCTGAAAAATGACGCAATAGTTTCAGATGTGTTTTCGAAAGATAGGTTTTTTAATTTGCATGATTGTGGAAATTTTGTCTCGTTTGTTTAGAGAATGCAAATAGTTCCATAATAGTTTGGGGTTGTGTTTAATATGATATTCAGTTTTGGTGATATATTCTATTTTATATTGTTTTGATAGCTTTAAACAAATGGCTTGTAACCACTTGAATTCTATGTAGTGGTTGTGGTCGTTTATAATTTTCCATTTTTTATGGATTGTTTTCTTCTTCACTACCATGTGCTTTAATTTAGGTGTGAACTATTTTGATGATATGTTGGAATTTTAGGGACATTTTTAGTTATAGTGTCGTTTAAAATGGTGCATACATAATCGGTGTTAGAATCGGTATCATTTATTGTAAAATTGTGGGAGTTAAGTGCTTTCTGTAGTAGTGAATTAATATCTTCATGATTGCCTTCTTTAAAGTTGTAGCAGTAAATAGTTGTATTTGGTTGAGCTGTTTCTGTTAATTCTAAGTTGAAGAAATGTGAGGGGTGGAATAAATCGGTTTTTATACTAGCTGATCCTGAGTGCCAACTACTGTTGAGGGATGTGAAAAATAGATCAAGTGTGTAACCGTTAGTCGGGTGAAGTCAATTGAGTCCACACCGTGAGAATGTAATATATATAATAAAAGAAATTATGAGTGCTGTAAGTACTGGACAAAGTAGTATTACGTAGTTAGTGTCAGCAATTTCTTATGCTGAAGTGTACAATGTGTTGCATAACTATTTACAAACAATTCCTTTAAATATCAATCATTGATTAATCTACATCTATTAAAAAAACATAATGGCCGACATCAGTAACATTGCGACAACAATTGAACAAGAATGATGGCCGATAACTGCAACAATTAGAAAAGAATGATGGCCGACACTACATTACAGTGGAGTAATAAAAATGGCCGGGGGCAGGGGGAAGAACTAGTATATATATTATTGATATATTTGCCGATTGGGTTAAAGTTGTGTTTACATAATTTATTTTCTCGTATTTTAAACAGGATTAGCGCAGGACAGGAAACAATGGAGGTGCGTGTCCATCCAGTTTTAGGACTGACGACCTTATGATGATGAATGGACGCACAATTACGCTACTTATATATTTAAAACCCGCAAACAACGCACAATTTATTCATAAAGTTTAAATCAAAGGATTATTTATATGGGGTAGCAGTTCCCACCAAACGCCGTCTCCCTCACTTTCGAGCCAAGAAATTATTACAACGACATACAGCTAAGGCATAGACATATATTAATGGACGTGCCTTAGAAGGGAGGGAGATGGCGTATGGTTTCGGACTAGTGCTTATCTCTTTCATGACACGCTTACACACTATCGTGAGAGAGATGGATATTGTCCGAAATTTCGTTGCATCTCTTTCTTTTGTTGTTCCACAATTCTGACCGCTAAGGCATTAGTAAACGTCGATGGACTAAGGCATGCCATTAATATATGGTCTGTCTATGGTAACGGCTTCAATTCTATGGTCAAATTAAAATCATAGACAAAATGAAATAAACAGTTATTGTATCTATGATAGTTATGGAAATTTTTGGTAATAAGTAATAATTTTTATTGTTTATGTGTAATAACTAATTGATAATTTTATAATTATTTCAGACAGAAAATAAAATAAAGACTGTAATTATTCTTTTTCTTCAACTCCTGTTTAATTAACAAGAGTCGAGAGTATAATGAGCTTTTTTCTCCCTACCTACGATTTTGCCAGCGCGCATCCAGGACATTGGAAGGAGCACATCGCTAGAGAAACTAAATGAAGTATACCAACCACTTCTCTATTTCAAGACAAAGACCATAAATAGAGAGAGAACAGAAAAAAGCAATAACGCCTACAGACATATAAATTACACTAACGTAAAAGAAAAAGTATTAACGTATATGATCAACTTTCATATAAAAATAATCTCTCATGAACCGGAGCTATGAAAAGAAATGTTTAGTGGTACCTCAGCGAATTTTAAGATATTCCGGAAGATTAGTATGGAAGCGAGCACTTTACGTGGATTTTCTTTCATCCAATATCGTCTCAACTGCGAATTCAATTGATCAGAGAAAAATATATTTTTAGAGAAAGAATCAAAGGAAGCTTTTAGTATCTATATGTCGTAGAAGAAACAGTGTAGTAGCTAAAGCCAGAAAGGGAGAACGATTTAAAAATATTTCTTGACACCTAATAGTCAAAAGATGAAATTGTTAGATTGTCATAGAAATATTAAAAACATAAACCCTTTGTGAAGGTTACAAATTATAGATAACTATTTGCTTCAAAAATCCTATGACCTTTTCAAACTTTCATACAGACAAAAACGTCTGCATTTTATACCACTTACGCCACGAATTCCAACTTTTTCGCATAAAAATTTCACTAAAATTCACGCAAGTTTTTTTTATGGCGAAAGTTTTAGTCACATACGCGTAAGACGTGTAACCAATCGTTCCGCACTTTTTAATAATAAGCATAGAACGCCGACACCTTTAATTTGATTTATCGTACATGTATTTCCGGCTATTATACTCCAATATTTAATTACTCCTCCGTGTGAAGCAACTACTTGATCATGGTTACTTAAAACTAATAATATTTGAAAGCAAACTACCTATATTAAAGTAGGAGTAGGCTGGTACACTATAATAGCAAAAATATGCACGTACAGGATTAAAATATTTAAACATTATCAGTTACCTACCATGCATTAA